TGACTGCTCATTTCCAGTGACGCCAAGACCAACACAGAGGCTGCACTGGAGTCAGCCCTGGGGTGCCACCTTGGCTCTGCCACTAACTTAGACTGTGCCCCAGCGATGATGATCACACCAGTGAAACATCACAAGCGCTGACAATTATGGACACTTACTGTCTGGCAGGCACCAGGCTGTTTCACCACAGAACAACACGACAACCTCCCAACGCAGCGACACAACTCCAACTGATATGGGCTATAATTATCCTTACTTTACAGACAGGAAACTGAAGATGGGAGAGGTTAAGTAACTTGCCCCAGGTCACAAAGTGGCGAAGGCTGAACCAGGACTCAAGCCACCTGGTCCGATTCAAGAGCTCATCCTGGTCACCTCGCTATGTGTATATGCGGCCAGCAGACACAAAGCCCTTTCTAGACGTCATTCCCCGTGATTCTCAAGACAGAGACTTGGGCTCTAACCTGGCTCCAGCACTTTGGCTTCACAACGTGAGGGCTCCCCAGGGCACACTGTGGGAAATAGTGGAGCTCTGACTCAGGGGGCCCAGGGCTAGAGGACCCTCAAACATCTCCGATGTGGGTGCTCTGGGACCCTGTTTTGAAGAACTCTGCCCTCCATCATTCTGGCTCCGGTCAGCTAGTCTGACCCAGAGGCCAGCAAATTATGAACCCACTGTCAAATTCAGTGTGTTTTTGTATGGTTCACCAAGCTAAGAATGGTCATTACATCTTTAAATGGTTGAAAAAAATCCAAAGAATAATACTTCATGACATGAAAATCATATGAAATTCGAATTTCAGTGTCCATAAATAAAGTTGATTGGAACACAGCCACGCTCATTCATTGATATATAGTCTGTGGCTACTTTTGTGACACAATGGCAGAGCTGAGTATGTGCAACAGAGGCCATAAGGCCCACAAAACCGGAAATAGAAAGTTTGCAGAAACTGGTCTGGTCTGGTCCACCCCACCAGGCAATGCAGGGATCCTCTTTACAGCTCCCCAACCCTCCGGCCTCTGCTTTCACACCTCCAGTGGTGGGGAGCTCATTACCAAACAAGGCAGCCGGTTCCAACTTTGGAGGTGCTGGGGACAGGTATCTGTGCTGGCACCGAACTCCTTCTCCTGTGACATCACACCCTACCCTCCGAGCCTTGTGGAGTCAGTTCTCTCATTCCTCTCCAATTGCCATCAGTTTCTTTCTTCCCTCTAGTATCATTCCTTCTCTGTCCTCATCTGTCCCCTCATTTATTCCTCACTGGCCCTCTAGAAACCAGCGGAAAACAGATAAGGGCACAGGCAGCGCAGAGGAAAGATGATGCAGTTAGGAACAGAGCTGGAGCTGGACCCAGGGCCCCTGCCTTCCAGCCTTGTGGCCCCTCGACAACTCTGCTTGAGCGTCCAGTTGGTTTCTAGCTCATCACCCCTGAAATGACACCCCAGAGGGCCCGAGGAGTCTCTCCTCCTCGATTCCTTCAAGTGGCCTGGAGGGCTTCGTGGATCCCAGGGCAGCTCTCCCTCACCTCTCCCCTCTCTCCATTCCGCCCGAGGGCTCGGCCTTAGGCTCTGAGCGCTTCTCCTGTCACATCTGGCCACCTCCGCCCCAACCAGTGGGGGCCCGGTCCCCAGGGCTGCCCACATTGACAGTCTCTGCTGGTTTGCCACTTGCTTTCAAGAGTCAGTTGGGTCTCTGGCTCAAAGTGCTGGGGTGAACTGACAGCCAGAAACGGAAAACGGATTCTTGGGCTGCTTTCTGACGTTTGTCTACAAATGCAGCCAGTAAGATGTATCTTCGGTGAAAATCCAGAAAGAGTTCTGAAATCCTCGGAAGGAGAGGGCTGTGTCAACACCGCCTTGTACTAATTCTCTGAGACACTCGTGGCCCCAGGCTGCTGCCCCTGGGAAGCGCTCCTACTCTCAGAGAGGATGAGTGATCTGGAAGTCTGAGTCAGAGTCAGAAAAGCTTGTCTGTGGGTGGCCAGGAGCCCTGGCGCGTGGGAGTAATGCAAATTCAAACTAAGTACTGGTCAGCCAGAGGCAGCCAGGAGCGGGGCTCTGCGTCCAGATTCCAACCCTGATGAGCTGTGAGACCTTCCGCAGTGATACCTTCCCTCACATCTACTTTTGGTGATATGGGGAAGAAAAAGCCAGATCTCATAGGGCCACCATACCTAGGAGACTAGCATGGCACCTGGCACTGGAGCACAAACTGTTACTTTCCTTTTCTCCTTTCTCCCCTCCTACTAGGAGCCAGGCATCGTGTCAGGTGCCGCGGGTCTGGATGAGTAAGGTACAGTCCCTGCTCGCAAGAAGCTGGGGAGATACGCGTGCACAACTACTAACAGAACAGGACAGTGCTCTATTTGTGTGATGATGGTGGAAACGATACAAATGATGGTGACGGCAAGAGCTACTGTTTCACACACATTCACAATGTGTCAGGCACTATCCAGGGAGTACCCCACTTCGTTCTCTCAACCGCCTTGAGAGGCGGATGCTGTTGTAACTGCCACTCCATCCAAGAGAAGCAGAGGCTCAGAGCCCAAAGGCAGTGAAAGAGGCCAGGGAGCTAGGGTGACTGGAGAGCACGAAAGCAATAGCTGGACCTGAAGGAGCCAGAGAAGGCCTTGAGGAGGTGACGATGCCTGGGGTTTTGAAGGATGCGCACAGGAGCAGGCAGCCCAAGCAGAGGGAGCAGCACCAAGGTGTGTGTGTGGGGGGTGGATGAGAACTCTGAGAACACCGTTAGAACCTGCTGTGCTCAGGATGCCAATTCTATGGGGCTCTACCCTTAACAAGGGGTGGAGCCGGCAGGCTTGGGGAGAGATTACTCCTGTAGTTTACAGAAATACAAGCAGCTAATACTGCGTCATCAATAATCACAGCCAATCAGTGGTACTTCTGCCTTTGTCTAAAAGAAACATATGAAATACTGAGGGCATCAACTCAAATGGCAGATAGTCTTCTTTTAATTTCTGCTCTAAATTTCAGTGGCTCTGGGAAGTTCATCTCCGCTTTCTGATCATTACTGGGGTCCTGGGTGAAAGCAGTCATAGTCTCCAGCCTCCTCTCACTGGGCCTCATCTCCTGTGAGAAATGAGACCTCTGGGGGATTCAGATGAGAACCCTGGGTTTGAAGAGCCCCAGGGCAAGGATCCTTCCAGTAGTAAAACTTGGTTTGCGCTAAGGTATTATGATTTAGCAGCATTTTCTTTGGACAAAATATTTCTTGCCCAAGGTAGGCAACCTTTCAGGGTAAAAAAAAAAAAAAGCTGTTTTCTTTGACCATCTAAGGCCTAGAGCCCAGGTGAGCTTTTCTAGGAAGCCTTAAGAATACGTGGTTGACTTAGAAAGACAGAGTTTTTTGTTTTTGGTTTTTTTTTTAAGTACCAAGTCTCAAACTTGGCATGTGACCAAAGCACTGGTATCTGTAGTTGGAGAAATAAAGATGAAAGAAGAGCCGCCTTCTCTTTTCAGCTCCAAAACAATGACTCACTGGGGAGTGTGTGTGTGTGTTCAGTCTCTGTGTGTGTTATGTGGGGAAGGTAGGGGTTGGGGGTGGGGTGGGAACTGGTCGATGGCCGATGGTCGTCCTGAGCTGGTCCAGGAGCTTCCTGGTGTGTAAACCCTCTGCCACACCCCTC